GTGTTATAAATCCTAACCTCTATAATGTTAATGAGGCACGATTAGAGGCAGTTATGTTAATGAGGCAGGACTCAATCTACAGGATTAGGTTGTATCTTGAGTCAATCTCTTTGAGATATAAAAGAGAAAAGTGAGCAGAGAAGAGACAGTCCTCATACCACCAAGAAAGAAGAGCCTTGAGTGGAGCACGTCCTTTGGACCCGGGGTCCTTGCACTGAGAAGCTCCTAGACCAGGTGAAGATTGATGGCAAGGACCTTCCCCAAGAACCAACAGAGAAAGAAAGCTTTGCCCTGGAAGTGGCGCCCTGAATTTGGTCTTCTAGACTTCCAGACTGTGAGAGAATAAATTTGTTTTGTTAAAGCCATCCACTTGTGGTATTTCTGTTCTAGCAGCACTAGATGACTAAGGCAGTCTCTGAAGTGATGTTTTGGTTCTGTGTAGGCAAAGCCTCAGTTTCCAAACTTAAAATACCTGATGGGACCAAGGCCCTCAAATAACAAGATATATCTTTCTTATCATTTTCAGGTCAACGTTTTAGCATCCTACCAGTACAGCCTTTAACGTCAGTCTAATTATTAATGAAAATCGTGGGTACAGTACTGATGATTTATTTTGATGGTGCTTTTTCAGTATGAAATTACAAAGAACTATTCTCCTGGTAAAAATATAGAAGATAGGTAAATCAGCCAATTGGTCTCAAGTAAAGGCACAAAATTAAACGTGCCCAGAGGTTCAGTGCCCAAAGGACACACAAAAGAAATGTTCCACACTTCCAGGCCCCTGGTGAGTACTTCTCATGCACCAGGTCAAATGTCCACCATTATATAGCCATAGAGAGGGAGAACCAGACGGACCCCAGAGATCATCCTCAGGCAATATGCACATTTTAAAAGAGGAAACTGAGCCAGAGATGTCACTTCGCCTCTCTGGATCTTGGTTTCCTCACTCCTACACAGATCAGAGTAACACACGGAACTTCACACAAATGACCAAGGTCCTCCCAGATTTGAAAGCTGTTGAGACCCTTCCCAAAAGATCCTCTCCACATACCTGAGAGAGAAGGACGCCTCATGTTAAGAAAACAACATACGCAACCTGAACTTATAACCCCACCAATCTGGGCCTTCGATATCCTCATCCGGAAAAACATTCTCCACTTAAAAGTACTCACCACTAGATTCATTTTTCTGAAGTGCCCCGCTAAGGCTTTTAAACGTTAGTTTAGTTTACCCCAAAATAAAAATTCTACACTCTTTTCAAAGATACATAAAACCACTTTAAACTGAATTTTTTACTCTGCATACGAATTATTTTTTCATTAAAAAAAATAACAAAAAAAAAAACTAGTAAACACAAAACTTTTTTTAAGCAATGGAAAATAAAATTCTGATAGCACTTTTAAACATAGCAAGCACCAAGAAGGCGAGGATTTTGTGTTGTACTTCTTTATATATCCCGTGGGTTAACTACGACAAGCTGAGATACACTTTTCTGTACAATTGATAGTACAATTTTGTAATAAATGAATAAAATCTATTTTTTAAAGCAACATAAATGTTCTACTTTAGTACTGTGGGTCTGGTGTTTCAATGGCCCAGATACTCTTAAATGGAATTCTACAGCAAAGTAAAGAACTGCTGATTAATTTTCAGTCATCTTGAAGGACAAAAGAGACAACAGCATCCTTGTTCAGCGCAATTCAGTTCAGGTGTCAGGAAACAGAAAGCGTAAATGGTGTCTGAAGGGACAGTTAAGCCAGTGCACACTAGGTGTGCAATACAATTACTTCCGAGCGAATTTCAAGTGTCTGATCCTTTACAAACAGACACGCTGCTTCAAAACGTTGGCACATTCTATTTCAGGGGCAGGCACATCTGCCAGGCTCACCCCAAGGTGAAGAAAGGCCTGAGGCACTCTGCATGTTTCCGAGGATGTCGTCACAGTTCCTGTCCACAGAAGCACACAAGGAGCCGGATTTCTACCACATTCCCTTCCAGCAAAAAGGCCTTTGCTAATTTTCGTAACCTAAATGGGGTAAGTAATTTTCAAGTTCATCTCCAAACAACTTGCTTTTCACTTTGTTTCTGACTACAACTAGGTCTTCTGAATTCTCCATTTTACTGACTCCGGGTCTCATTAATGACTCCCGAGAGTGATGAGCTGCAGGAAAGACCAGACAGCAGGACAGGGCTTCACGCTTCCTCTGGGCTGTCTCCCCTTGCCTGCCCACAGCAACACACACACATCATTCCTCTGCAGGAATAAAGAATGCGCCGCAGAGGCACGAAAGGTTTAACTCTGCAGGAAGATTAACCAGTTGCCATGGGGTCGATTCCAACTCATGGCGACCCCATGTGTTTCAGAGTAGAACTGTGCTCCATAGGGTTTTCATGTCGGTGATCTTTCAGAAGGAGATCACCAGGCCTTTCTTCCAAAGTGCCTCTGAGTGGGTTCAAACAGCCGACCTTTCAATTAGTAGCTAAGCACTTAACCATCTGCACCACCCGGGAAGTTAGGGCGGCATAAAAACAAATTTTCTCAGTGTGAGTCTGAGGGGTACGGGGTTGGTACATGTGATCAGAAAGCTGAACGTACAGTTTCAAAACTGTGTGTATGAAAGTGTGTGTGTGAGAGGTGTGCGTGTCAGCGTGTGCACGTGCAGCAGCAGAGACAGAAGCTGCAAAGCCCAGAGCAGAGAACGCCATGTAGGTACCGCACAGCCTCAGACTGTGCACTGAAAAGCCCAGCCAAAAGCCCCAGTCAATCAAGCTGTCTGGCCTTCTGCAGATAAAATATCCAGGTAATCAAGTGATTTCTGAACCAATGAGCAGAGGGTTTGGTGTCACACAGATAAGGCTCAGCATAACAATCTGTACAAGAAGAAAATGTAGCTTATCATGCAAACACTCACCCGAAAGCTCAAAAGTCCCTAAGATCCCATAATTTCCAGTTGGTTACCCCCTAGTCCTCCACACTACACTATCCTCCCCCTGCCCCCCACTCTCTCTCTCTCACACATACATACACACACACACAGACACTCCCCCATCAGCCTCACATGATTCCAAGGGTGAGACTGGCAGGGGAAATTTTTCCCTGGCTCTACTTTGTACCTGTTTAAAAACCTATTTAAAGGTGGAAGTCAGGTTGGGCAAAGGCAGGCCACATTTCTACCTCTGGACCTGCTAGCTAACTGGAGAATACCACTTAACCCTCTGGTTTCTCGGTCGGCATCCCTCTGGCAAATGAAAAAAGAAAATGATCACCTGTCACTATTTATCTCCCCTTGAACTCACTTCCTGTTAAGAGCCCTTTCAAACAACATCAGGACGTACAAACTGTTTTGAAAACCAGCCAGTAAGAGCTGCTAATCCACCACTAGAAAGGGTGAATGGAGAATTGGGGAAAAGTTAAAGTGACTTTGGCTGTGACAGCTGTGTGTCGGGGTTTAAAAAGCAAATTTGAGGAAAGAAACAGAGGGCCATCTCTTATTCACCAAGCCCCTAATTGCTGGCCAAGAAGGCAGAGAAATCTGGACCACGCCTCTGCTGAGAGGCATTTCCATCTGTCCTCTACCCCCTCCAGGTGCACCCACCCTCCTCTAAAGGTGGTGTGCCTGTCCCTGACAGCAGGTGCAAAGTGCCTGGGGCCCTCTTCTAGCCACAAAATGCCAGACTGATTGGGGCTAGATTTTGCATACACATTTGCCTCCAGATAATCAGCAGAAAGCAGAGTTTCGTAAAAAGAAATGCCTGGTCTTCGAAAATTCTAGCTGTGATTTCTAAAGTGAGAGAAAGAAACACACTTTGGAGTCCAAAATAGCTTAGAGAAGGGTATAAAGCAGACATATAAAGCTCTTGGTTGTTGAGGTGAGAGGTATTGCGGTACAATGAATAGCATTTGATATTCAAGATGGAATCGGAAGGCTACCCACTACACTAACCCCTTGCTATTATGAAATGTGAAGGTTACCCCAAGGTAGCATGACATCCCCTTGCTAGGCTGGTCAGAACTGTATGGTGCTCTACTAGGAATTTCCCCGTGCTCGCTGGAAAAGCTAAGAGAAAGTCCAGACGTTTTCAGAGGTGCTAGCTTCAACTCTTTTGTCTTCTGCAAGATATTGTGCTTCTCCGAAGAGTGAAAACAGCCCCGGATTGAGATTAACCGTGCCATAAAAAATAAAAGCACGTCTACTGCCATAGGCAGAACAAGGTGTCAGCATGATGAATCAAAGCAGAGCTACATGTACCTGAGATGTACCTGTACAGGCAGACAAGCACATCCATTAGGAGGTGTCTATCCTAGAGATATCACCCAGGTGTTTATCTCAGGCAAAAGAAACTATCTGCTTAGCTCAAAGCATGGTTTTTATTTTAATTCATACATCAAACTGCACTTAAGTTACTCTGGCCCCATGAATATCGCAGTTCCGACTTAACTTACTGAAGCTTGGTGGCTCTTCACCCCAGGCTTCAGGGCCCTGCCATCTAATCAGAAAGCTCATTTTCCTGCGCTTGAATAAAGACTGAGTTAATTCACTAACATCCTTGTCAGTTTTCCTCCACCCGGATGAATCACAGAATTAAATGTTTCACCTGATCAGACAAAAGCTACCCACAGCACTTCTGTTCACTATGTCTGGGGATTCATCAGCAAGTTTTTGATGATGCTCATGAAGATCATCTTCCCAGGAAGAGAGTGGTGGCGTACAGGAGGTACCTTAAAAAATCGTTTCCTAACATGTGCATGGAGCTAGCACTGGAAGTGACTCGGACGCGCTCCCCTCGCCCAACCCAAGCCAGGAAGTGCATGGTCAGTGTCTCTGCACATCCTGGGCAAACACAACTGGAGGGAATTAAAAGTTGCAACTGCCCCAGGGCCCAGATCAACAGTCTTCTTGATTCAGTAGAAAGTTAAGAAAAACACCGAACACTTACATGGCACCAAAGGCCTGCTGAAACCAGCAGGAGCACTGGAAACATCTCAGGGCAAGACTTACCACTCTGGGCTTCTGCTGGTCCAGCGTATGCAGGAAGGCCGCGTTGGGGTCCAGGGAGCGCTCAGGGTCACTGGAGATGTCCTCCTCTGAGTCCTCATAGGATGAGAAGCCCGTGGAGGAGGCCGAGGAAGAGGACAGCTTCCTCAGGGGCAGGTTGCCCTGAGGGCTGCCCTGTGCCTCCTCCAAGCCCCCATCCTCCTGTGCGCCCAAGTCTGTGATGATGACAGCAGGTATGGCGCTGGGGCTGCAGACCTCCCTCTGTAAAGGCTTCTGATCTGGAGGCAGCTGCTCTGGGTTCGAGTGTGCGTCTCTGTCCTGCGGCTGGCTCTCCCAAGTGCCCTCTGATTGTATCCCTGTCCCACGCGTCCAGGCCAGGCCCGCTTCTTCCATGGGGCCCAGCCAAGCCCTGGAGCTGCCGGGCTGCACACCAGCCCTGTCCCCAGGAGGGCCAGGCTCTTTCACATCTTTTGCCATTTCCCAACAGGGCAGAGGCTCCAGCATTCCTCCAGAGGGAATCCTCGCTTCCACCTCTCCGGCCCCCAGCTGTGCAGACCGGTGGCCCCCAAGTAAGCCGAGCGTCGTCGGAGACCCTTCCTCCCCTCTGTGGGAGCTCTGCCGAGGCCCCTCGACCACGGGGACCCCACTCCGGGCCTCCTTGGAGCCCAGGTCTCTGGGCGGCCCAAGGCAGCTAGGGACCTCAGAAAGCGCCGAGCTTTGCGCGTTCACAGTCGTCTCCCCGGACCTTTTGCCCACTTCAGGCGCCCAGGCGCCCAGCATGCCACGGAACAGATTTCCTTTCCCCACCTTCTCAGGGGGCTCCCCACTGCGGGGCCCGCCCCTCTCTGGGGCTGGGTTTGTCTCACTGCCCAGAGACTGCCGCTGCCTCTCCACGACGGCCTCCCGGGGGTGCGCACCCCCAAGCTCAGTGGGGACAGGATCGTGTGGATGGTGTGGCCCAATGGATGTGGCTCCCGCTGTCATTTCTGTGGCCATCACAAAGTTCACTCTACCCAGCTCCAACGAGGGAACCTGGCAGCTCAGAGTTACCGACAGAAAAGAGGCCCTCTTTTCAACTTCCATAGCTATGGGCGAGCTACACGGGGAACTGGCAGGAACCCCTGTATCCATCCTCCCAGAAGTGGCTGAACCCTGAGTCCCTGGGACTGTTGGGGCAGCCCGGCCGGGGAGAGGTGCCACTCCCTCCTTGTCCTTCGTGGGGCACAGGCTGAGCGCCCCTCCTCTCCTCCTCGAGTTGGTCTCTGAAGTCTCTGGATACTGCGCCCCCCAAGACTTTGTCCTCCGTTCCTTGCTCCGGGTGCACTGGGCCAGGACCCTTCCAGGGGGCTGGCTGCTGCTGCGGAAGGGACACGGGGAGGGTGAGCGAGCCCGGCCCAAACGCGGGCTGCGGGGCGCTTGAATGGCGGAGCTCTGCGCCTGAATGTGCGCCTCGAACATGTCCACTTTCTGGTTCACCTGCACGTTCTGCAACTCGCGCTGCAGGATCCGCAGCTTCCTCTTGGCCTCCTCTGGTCCTGGCGGGGAGAGGATACCAGCGGCTACCACCTGCTGCCCGTCCCCTCTCAGGCGACCCGCCCAACTCGGGCTGTCCACGCTGCTACTGCCGCTGCCGCTCCGCCAGCCCCCGGGACTCCCGGGCTCCTCGGGCGACAGCGACTCGGCTGGGGGGAAGAGGAAAGAGGCGCCTCTCCCGGGGCTGAAAACGCTGCCGGGGCTCAGCACAGCCCTCCCCCGGGACCCGGGCGTCTCGCTGCCGCTGGCGCCGGGGCCGCCGCTCTTCACCTCGTTGGCGCTATTCATGATCACCAGGCTATTGAGCGCATAGCAGTACACAGCCATAGTACTGGGTCCGCCGCGCTGCCCACCGCCGCGGCTCCCGTTCCGGCTCCGCCGCCGGCGCCTCCTCCTCCCGCGGCTCCCGGGTCAGGCCCGGAGGCCCGGCGTCGGCGGCTTTGCGCGCGGATGGGGAGGCATGGCCTGGGCGGCGGGCTGGGGGCCGGATCGCGGGCTCAGCCCCCGCCCAAAGCTCCATAAACAGCCGCGCCGCTCCGCTCCGCTCCGCTCCGCTCCGCTGTGGAGACACAAGGAGAAAAGTCAGCACCTCAGAGGGTGGGTGTGGGGGTCGGCTAGGGCGTGAGGGAGCCCCGGGAATCCCAGAGCTAGGTGCAGTTGGACATTCACCAACGGGGATTGTGCAGCTAGGCGAGGGCACATCATGCCACGGCTACCTCAGTCGCCACTGCAGTGGTGGGTGGGCGTTCCCCGGTGTGCTCCCACTCTCACCCCAGGTTGTGATAAGCTTTGAGGTTCCTTCATATTTCTAGATTCTAAGACTCGCCTCCGGGCCCACGAAGACCGGTGGGGGAATGATGTAAAACTATTCGGTTCCTAAGTGTGCTGTGCCGGGAGCAGCTGAATTGGATCTCTCCGAGGGTGAGGACACCCCATTCACGATCTCCGGGTCCCCTTGGCTGAGATCAAACACTGGGTATCTTGGGTAACGGGGCGGCCCCGCTGTCAGGCAGCCCCAACCCCTACTTAAGGGTCTCCCCGCCCACCCTTTTGGGGCATTAGGGACTGACTTGGAGGAAACGTGAGCGGGACCTGCGGTCCCGGAGCTGCTGCCTGCGCCCGGGTCTAGGGGGGCGCCTGCATGCCCGCGGTTTAGGTTTCTAACCCTGGCTTGGGGCTGTGTCCCTCCGCCTAAGAATGCCTGAGCGGGCCACGGGACTGCAGACGAGGCATCTTTAAACGCTGACCGGGTCGCCAGTCCCTAAACAAGTGTGTTTTGTGAGTGTGGGCGCGCGCCGGCGCGCTCCCGCTGCCCAGGCTCTGCACCTCTCCTGTACCGGAACCAATAATCGCCGCCCCCTGCCGGAGCCCACCGCCGAGGGGCGTGTGTGTGTGCACGCGCGCACACAAGTAACCTCTGTGTGCGCCGTGTGCCCGAGAACGCGGCTGCCTCTGCGGGCTCGGGGATTTGCGCCCACTCGGAGAAAACTCCGGGGAGTGCGTGGCTGGAGTCCTGCGGCGGCCCGGCGTGCGCAGAGCCCGGCACTCCGCAACCCTACCGGGGGCTGCACTCCAAGCCCCGGGGGGAGGCTCAGCCGAGTCCAGGGCTTCTCCGCATCCCGGGCAGCCTCGCCAGGCGCCCGCGGATCCGCCCGGCGGCCGGAGCCGGGGGAAGCCTAGAGCGCGCGGGGGAGGCGGCGTGGGGCAAGCGGCCCGGAAGGCGGGCACGAGAATCGCCGAAAACTCGTCTCTCCCTCCTCTCCCCCCACACTCCTCCAAGCCACCTTCCAAAATAAAACCCCCTTCCCATTCTCCTCAACCCACCCGCTCCACTTATTCCGAACCCGGAACGACCAGCTTCGCTCCTGAGCAGACTGTGAGAGGAAGGAGGATCCAGAGTCGAGAGCCATTAAAAAGCCGCCAAACTTACCTGCAATTGTGGAGGTTCCCGGGTCTGTGCAGAACTACCTTGCCTAGAGACGCAAGCCCTTGTTAGGACGAGATGGCTTTAAAAGTAAAAATGCTCCAGAAATGATTTCCTCACCAAGCTATGAAAGACAAAAAAAAAAGGGGGGGGGTACGAAAGAGGAAAAACGCTCCTCCGCGCAGGGGCCGGGCGGTGGCGACGCCGGGCCGGCCCTGCACGCCCTTCTCTGCCGTGGAGACACTACCCCTGTCAGAGTCTACTCCCGGCTACTTCAATGTTTGTTCAATGTGCGATTGAAAAAAAAAAAAAAAAAAGGAGGGGGAGCCTGGGGGGGGGAGGAAGGAGGAGGGAGAAAGGCGGGGGGTTGGGGGAGGAAAGCAGGAAGGAAGTTGTGAGCTTGTCTGGGGTTGAACTCAGCGGAACAAGTTTTTCTTTTCTTCTTTTTTTTCTATTGCTTGGCAGGACCGAGGGAGGGAAACACTTAAAAAAAAGTTTCCATTGTTAGCTAACAAAAAATAAAAGCCTTTTAACTTCTGCGGGTTAAAGATATACGATCCATTTTCCACCCTTCTATCGAGTTTTGCTTATGTCTAGCTTTATGAAACTATTTTTGAAAAATGTTTTTAATGAAGTTTTGAGTTTGCGTTTTAAACAAAGCAAATCATGGAGACTTAGCATTTAAACCGGGCTAAAATCCTGCATAAACCGTTTGAGTTCTTATACACAAATATGCAAATACAAAGAAGGCACATTGCGGGCGCCTCATTGCAAAGTTGCAAATTTTAAATGCATCACAGTAGTATTTTGGAAGACTGGTTGGGCTGTGAGCTGTGGGTGGTTTTGCAGTGCAATTGCTACATGTATAAACACGCGTTTACACATTGCACATTTATTTGTAACCAAATGCACACAGCAAATAGGACATTTACATATTTTTGCACTTAATTCTCAAAATTATTTTAAGAAAAAACGTAGTACTGGAACTAAGAAGGCCTGAGCAATGTCTGAAACCTGCATACTCAGTCTCCTATAGGCTGAATTACTTTCAAAAGCCTTCCTCCTCCACTATCAGCAAAAAAGGGGGAAGGAGCATCAGCCAACATTACTGGGCAGGATATCCTACTCCATTTAAGCTCAGGAGCTACAAGTGTGTTTTTGCATAATTCTCTAATTCTTAAACTACAGCGTTCAGTGAAAAGAGGGAAAACACAGCTGCGAGGCTCAGGAGATTTAAAAATCCAAAACCTAAACTGGTGCTTATATCCAGGTTAGCTAAAATTCAGATGGAAATTTTGACTTTGCTTGTAGCAAACCCATCTTTTGCTTGTTTATGTAACAATACTGTTTAAGTGAGCAAAGCAACCTGCTGCTTAATAGGGAAAAAAAACTTTTTAAATCTGAAACCAAGAGATCTTCTAGCCAAGAATTCCTGGGAATCAGACACTGTTGAGTTCCTCTCTAATTTTTTTAAAACATGCTATGGAAGGATTGAGACTAATTCCTCAACTGAATAAATAAAACCAGCCCAGATTGTATTTAGATGTTGACCCAGGATCTTAGCATTTCCTAAGACAGAGAAGCCACCCTGTCCTTGCCCCTGGTAATTCAGCCCCTGGGTGGCACGAATGATTAAGCGCTTGACTACTATACTAGCCGAAAAGGCAATTCAAATCCACCCAGAGGCACTTTGGAAGACAGGTCTGATGATTTGCTTCCAAAAGGTCAGAGCTTTGAAAACCCTATGGAGCCATTCTATTTTGCACACATGGGGTCACCATGAGTTGGAATCAAGTTGACAGCAACTAACAACAACAAGAGTGGCAAGAAAGGAGTGCTGCCAGTTCCTAGGAGCCCCACTTCATGGAGTTTATGTCTAATGTAAGCGGACACCATTCCAGGAGATGCCAACATCTATGTCAGGTGTCATAGTGGAAGCAATCAGAGGACCTAGCAATGTATACATTGAGCACAGCTACTTACTTCCTACCCTTTGGGAAACCCCACTGACAATCTACTGTCAGACATCATCAACCGTCTCCAGAATCAAGAGACGCATGCTTCCTGGATGTGCAGGTAATCTGGAGAATTCTTGGTCAGAAGGCAGCCAGCAGCTTGTCAGGTGTGGCATGCAGAAGGGCTTCCTGCCTTGGGCTGGAGGTAGAACTAGACGATAATTTTACTGTCTAAAATTCTAACAGTGCCACCACAACGCAGCAGGGGTTAGGGGAAAGATGGAGCAAAACCCATGCCTGCAGCTGGCATGGTCAGCTTGCATCCAGAAGCAGAATCTAGTTGCCTTCCATGATTTTAAATGAACTTTTAAAAAATTATATAACACTTATTTGCCAGGTACTGTTTTAAGTGCATTATTATCCTCATAACAACCCTATAAAGTAGGTACTATTATTATTCTCATTTTATAGATGAAGAAATTAAAGCAAAAAGATGTGATTAATTTGCCCCAAATCCTACTGCTTATAAGTGGAAGACTAGGATTTGAACCCATGCAGTCTGAGTCCAGAATCCATGTTATCACTACTACTCTCTATACTAGTTACATACAACTGAAGAAAAAGTTAAGGAAAGTTTGCCTAAATTTTCAGGGTTCCCATTTGTCCACTTTTTTTTTTTTTTAACCATACCTATAAAACTAAGAATAGAAGGAAACTTCCTCAACTTGATAAAGGGCATTTATGAAAAACCTACAGCTAGCATCATACTTAATGGTGAAAGAATGAACATTTTTCTCCTAAGATCAGAACAAGGTAAGGATGTCCATTCTCACCACTTCTATTCAACATTGTACTGGAAGTTCTAGCCAGTGCAGTCAGGTAAGAAAAAGAAATAAAAGGCATCCAGATTGGAAAGGAAGAAGACAGCTGTCTTTATTTGCCAGCGACATGATAGTCTATGTAGAAAATTCTGTGGAGTTTATGAAAAAGCAAATATTTGGTAAAGAACTTGTATCCAGAATATATAAACCAACAACCAACCAGTTGCTGTCAAGTCAATTCCAACTCATGAAGACCCAACGTGTGACCCCATGTGTGTCAGGGTAGAACTTTGCTCCAACGAAATAGATCTCCAGGCCTTTCTTCCAAGGCACCCATGGGTAGGCTCAAACTTCCAACTCTCCAGCTCACACCAAGCGTGTTAACCATTTATACCACCCAGGGACTCCTTCACTTCATATATGACTCTGTTAATTATTTGCTGCACTGTATAATAGTCTTGAGACTCCCTCTTTCTTTGTCCTCTACTTGATAGTAAGCTTTTCAAAGCAAGGATCCTGACTTATTTATCTTTCTAGCCTTAGCTTTTATCTCCACACAGAATGGACTATATGTATTTTTTAAATTGAAAAAATAAAAAAGCACTCAGTGAAATCACTACGCAAAACAACTAAGGAATCAGCACCACCCAGAAAGCTGCCACCTCCTCTTCCCACCAAGTAGAAAGCACTTCTCATTGTCATGCAAGCAGGCAGTGGAGGGGGGACTGATGGTGCGGGTCTCCACCAGCCTCCCCTTAGCCTACACCCCTTGCTTGACATCTTAGTTCTAAGTGCCCAAAACGCCATTGGCCCAAGGCATGTTTGAGGCCAAGCCATGTCCATAAGGGAGGGCAACACACCCTCTCCCGTCTAGCACAGGTCAAGGCCACCAATAAGAAAGCAGCTTTGTACAGCCCTTCACCTCTCCCTGGCTCCTCTCCACTTGTTTTCCTGAGTAACGCAGTAAATCATGTATCGGACAAACAGTTATTGAGTGTGAGCTGTGTCAGGCCCGTGGTAGGTGCTGAGGATAGTGTGGTGAACATACAACCCTGCCCTCAAGTCTAGGAGGAGACCCAGGAGTGTCTCCAGGACAGCTCTGCAGAGGAGGGGAGAAGGAGGCCTGACTTAGATCTGAGGTTCTTCTAGGCTCCTCTGCTTGCCATAGTCTATGTGCCTTGGGGCAAATAACTGAAATTTCTGAGCCTCAGCTTGGAAATCTGTAAAATGGCAAACATAATTGCAATACCTACCTCCAGAGCGTTCTTATGAGGACCTATTAGATAATGCGTGCGTTAAGCACTCAAAAGGATAAGCTTTTTTAAAAAAGGGGCCTCTCAACTCTCTTGGATCTATCTCATACAAAAAAAAAAAGATCCAAGACTTAGTGTTGATAACACAAAATCTGCCTTGCACACAGCTGGTACTCAAGAAATAGTTGTTTCTAGAATGAGCTTCTTCAGCATCCAAAGACCCCTCCTTCCTATACTGATGCTACTCTGATCTCTGGATGGACAGCACCAGTGATGGTGAGGGGTCTGTGTTCCCACCGAGCAGTTTCTGTCTGCTCTATCTTCACATCTGTCTTCACAAACTCTAAAGTCAAATGACACGTAGGCAGCAATGCCCACGTTCAGGCGCACGTACTGCAGGAGAGATGCCCGTTGCTTGCTCACATGCCCTTCCCAAAGAGTCTGCCTGTTCTGCTCCCCAATGGGAATGCTCCAGACCAAAGGACTACCCTGAGCCCACAGCTAATTAGACCAGGGAGGACAAGGATCCCAAAGACAGCCAACCCACAGGATGGCTAACGATCTGGCATGAGAATACAATTGGATTCCTCTGTGGGAATTTGGAGTCATTATTACAAGAACTGAGCAGAAAGATCTTGAGGTAAACTTGGGGCCTAAGAGGCATGTGCCAGAGTTATAAGGGAGCAGAAACCAGGAATGAGCCAGGGACGTCGGGGTGAGTAGAAACGGGAGCAGAGAACAGATGTGTTGAGACAAGAAAAACCGCAGCGCCTGACACAAGCCACGGAGGGAAAGGCAGGGAGTTGCCTTGCATGTTGGTGGCTTCCCAGATCTCATTCCCATGAGGCCTGGCGGGGTTCTGTGTCTGCCCTTAGCTTACAACAAACTTACATTCACTCCTGCCAGCTAAGTACAGCTCTGTTGCTTGCAACCAAAACTGCCTTAACTATAACAGAGACCCGTCTTCAAAACGGACAGCAGGCCCAACAGAGCAAGCCCACCTCTTCCCTAGCAGGTTGCCTAAATTGGAGAAGTAGACAATTTATTATGTGGTCTTGGTTTACCTGAAGCCCACCAGACACTTCAGAAAGGGGTGCGTTTTGTATTTAGGGACGCTGGCCCAGAAAGTCTAGCCACTGAGTAGTTACAGGCTGGTTCCCAGAGCAGCCTCCACCTTGGTGGCGGCTCCCTGGTTAACAGTGGGTGTGGGTCTGTCTCCTC